GCCGCGACGAGCGCGCATGCGCAGTCAAAGTGCGGCCATCTTGGTCTTCGAGAGTGTGAAACTGTCCTCCTGTGAAGTTGTTTTAGCTGGTAAATCGCTAGGACGGGCTTAAGTTGGGTGGCAAGGGGTCGAGGGGCGAGTGCGAATGGCGGCGGGCGTGCGAGGGCGCGGGCGGAGGCGGCAGGGGCGGCGCGGCCGAGAAAAGCGCCAGGGAATCTGCGGTCCTCCCACAAAGCCTCGCCAGACTTTGTTTTGGTTCGCAGGAATTTCGCGGCCGAGAAGTAGGAGGCGCCCAAGGGAGGGAGGCTGCCGCCCGCGCCCCCAGGGGAAGGGAGGAGGAGGAGGAGGGGAAGGAGAAGGAAGGCGAGTGAAGAGATGAGGAGTAGATGGAGATGAGAAGAGCACAGAGGAGTGGAGGAGGAGAGGAAGGGGGGCAGGAGGAGGAGGAGGAGGAGGAGGAGGAGAGGATGAGGGCCAGAACCCAGGAAGGCGAAGGGCGCTCCTGAGGAAGGCTGACGAGGGCGAGGGCGAGCGAGCGACGCCGCGGCGTGCCCTCGGCCCGCGGCCGGGGGCGCCGGGACGCCCGAGGGATCTGTGCATCCCTGCTGCCATGCATTCTCGGGTGCATGGGCGGCCCTGCTCGTCGTCCAGGAGAACCCTCAAGGCCTGGCAGGGAGTGGGCATGTTGTGGCTGGATAGCCCTCCCCTGCCCCCTTGGAAGAAGGGTAGAAATACACCCTGTGGAATTACCTGGAGTGTGTTTCTAAAGTATATCAAGTCATGATAATGGTTTTCCATTGATGTTCATCTCTTTTGAGTTCTGGTACTGCTTTTGAGGCGCTGTCAGCTCAGGCCTTGTAGGACTGTCACTCCTCCAGTAGATAACCAGATGGGAGGTTTGGACTGGGTGGCAAGCGACTCACTGATACAGCGATAATGGTCCGGTTCCAAGAGAAATGGCAAAAAATATGGTGGATGACAGTAATCAGCATATGTTTCCTTATTTTTTCATCGGAGTAATCTTACAATGCACACGATGTGGTGGTATTGAGGTGCATATTTATATACATTGGGGTTTCTGGATTGTTATTTGGGAAGGGTCATTTGATAGTTATGCTAATCTATTTTCCCCTTTGCTGATAGATCCGGTCTTGTGGTCACCCAGCCTGTATTATTGCTACCGGCATGCTAACTGTTGTTATTGCTACCGGCATGCTATGTTTTTTATTTACACCTTTTGGTATACAAAAACTGTTGCAATCCCATATGGTCCTGAAGAGACAACTCTTACATTTGTTATTTTAGTTTCACCAAAAGTGGAATAGAGGCATACACAGAAAGAAAGAAAAAAAAGAAATTACTAGATATTTAGCAAGAAAAGATTTGTTTTATGCTCTGATAGAAAACTGTGATTAAAAAAAGTGAAATTGATATATTGTGTTTCTAGGATTTATTACATCTTGATGTGCTTGTAATGTATTGGAAATCCCTGGTGAAGTTTTAGTAAATATCAACCATCACTCATGAGGTAGATGGTACATAGAGTAGAAATTTTACGAGAATCTTTTCTTAAACTGATGTGCTTTCTATGACGGGGGTGTAGTAATCTTCCACCAGATCCACCACTGTTCACTCTTGTGTGATGTGTTTTCATACCATTGGTCACATAAACCCAACAAAGCATTTTCAAAACTAGAAGATGTAGCAAACGTGTAGCAAACGTGATCTTAACCCCTTGGATCCGGTTGATTCCCAGCAGTCACATGGCCCAAAATATGGGCATTAGGCTTGTGTGAGTGGCTCCTCTGACAGTTGTGCAGCTTGTAAGCTGGGCGCAGGCAAACACTTGTGTTTGGTAGCAAGACTCTGTGCCTCCCTTTTGCAATGTTTTCTCTATTTATGCATAAGTGTTTATTTATTTAATTATTTATTTGCTATTTTCCAATGTCAATATTTGTCTTTTGATCAGCTTTATCAGTGCAAGAAAATAAACATTAAACATTTTCTTATTTGCATTATTTTTAAATATTTTTCAATTTTAAATACAAAGATGATGAGCATGGAAATGATGTTCTCCCCAGAGCCAGCACTCTTCCAGTCATGGCTTACAGACACTACATTCTGCACTCGTTAATTGAAGGGAATCATGCAAAAGCCCCTTTCTAAATGCTTATGGCGAGTCTTTCTGTCACCCCGGCCTTCAAACAAAATGCTCATGGCAGCGAGTTGGCGTCACATGGGACCATAGCCATATTTTCCCATGGCAGCATGGTCACGTCATCTGCCCCTCAAGCCAAATTTTTTCATGATGTCATGGTCACATCATCTGGGTCAAAGGGGTTAATTTATTTATCTCTCTCAAAAGAAATATGTTTTGCCGATAGGTTGTGGTGCGTACATTTCAAGATGTAATTTTAGAATTGCAGCGTTGAGGTTATAGATTGTATTAAAAGGAAGGTATATAGAATACAAGCAATATTATGGATGAAAACCAATAAAC